AGTTGGAATAAGCTCTGCAAAATTTTGCATTTTTGATAATCAAGGAAAATTTTCCTTTATTTTCCTTTGTTTGTTTTGAGAAACATCAAAATTTGTGTCTTAATTCTGTAAAAATCATCAGGCGATGATTATCATCATAATTTCGAATTTGATACTTTATTATTATAAGGTAAATGACACAATGGTTATTGAACTTTTGCTCATCTTGCTATATATATAGTATCTCAACTTTTTAAAGTGCCCATTAAGTCCCTCAAAAGTAAATATTGATTACATAAATAAATGAAATCCTTAAGTGTGGTGTATTGGATTCTAAATGAACTCAATTTCTTGAAATTCTGCTGATAAAACATGAACTCAAAATTTCACACATTTTGACAAATTGGTGCAGGGCTACAAAAGAGTGATCAGAAATTGCATGGAAAATGCGAAACTTCTTGTAGATGGTCTAAAACAAACAGGTCGTTTTGACATTATCTCAAAGGAAAGAGGACTACCACTTGTTGCCTTCGGATTCAAAGACACAAACAAAAGCTTGGCCTTTGAATTATCAAAAGCCTTGAGACACCATGGATGGATTGTTCCAGCTTACACAATGCCTGCAAATGTTGAACACATGGCTGTCCTCAGGGTTGTGGTTCGTGAGGATTTGGGAAGACAACTTGTTGAGAAGTTAGTTTCACATATAAATGGTGCATTACTGGAGCTCGATGAAACAGCAGATATTGTTTCGAAGATTTTATTTACTGTAGAAGTTAAGTCAAGTGATGAAGATCAGCATCACGAGTCTAGACATGATCATGAGGGCTCGTTGCATCTACCAACGACTTCAATACATTGGAAGCAAGATAAACATGACAGGATTCAAAAAAAAGTACATATAAGTGGTGGGAAAACCAAGGGTGTGTGTTAAATTTCATCTCATGAATAAGTCTTTTGTGAAAGATTGGATGTGTAACATGGGGTGATCACCACATGTGTAATTCATTAGATAAATCCAAAAGAGATTGTAAATTTGTTTGTGCTTATTTTAAAATTAATTTACTTCTTCGAATTACTGTGCCTATGACATTGATAACTTGATACTGAAAAATCATCTTTGAATACTAAACATATTGACAGAAACTAGACCCCAGAAGCCAACACACTTAATGAAGAAAGGGTTCTCAAAATCATCCATCCTGTCACCTAAAAATCAGCCAGAAATTTGGCTTCCAAATGGATCCAGGACAAACTTTCAGTCATCTTTACAAATTTGCTAGAAATTTTTCAAAGAGTCAATCAGGCTTTCAAGCTCATTAGTTTGAAGTTTTAGATTCTTGAGCCTGAGAGTGGCAAGTTAATATTCGTAAACCTCAAAGTGATGACACCTAAGCCTTTTTCCTAGGGTTTTTTTGAAAACCATAGGAATATTATTAGGGTAGAAGTTAGAAAGGACAGAAAATTGGAGTACTCTTGCGCCATATCTAGATCATCTTGGCATGGTCCAAGCTAGCCCAGCCTATTCGCATATTAGGCTCGATTTTAAGGAGGACAATCATCATCAAACTATAGGCATCTCACTAGACAATCAGAAAATTGTACACTCAAATATTAGTTTCGATCTTCGGAAGTTGGTGGATCATCCAGTATTCTTTATCCGATGATAAAAATTATTGGAGAAGAGGGTACATGTTAGAGGACTGGGTTCAAAGAGTAATCAACAAAGACAACTGTGTATCATTACATATACCTTTCTCAAAACCTTTTAGGAACTGCTGTATTTAGGCTTTGTTCTCGTAGCTCTTTACTCTCAAGAACTGTGGAATAATGTTTCTAATAATGAGGAATCATTTATCTGGTGTAAAGGTTATGGCTATTGCTACTCTACCCTCCGAGGATGACGCCAAAGAGGAAGAAAGCGTAGATGCAAGGCATAAAGGGAAAAAATGAAAGAATTAATTTTTATATACAGACAGTTTATACATTTTCATCAGTAGATACATGATACATAATTTGAATTTAAATTTGAAATTCAAATTTTACAAATGTGTGGTGTAGATACTGTCAGTCAGTGTATATAAACTTTACTTAAAAAGAAAACTGCACATCAAGGATTTTGGTGAAACATGCAAGAGTCATAAGAGGGAGTGAATCATTTATGGTATGATATTTTGAAGCAAACAATAAAGTCAAAATCACATGTGATTCATAATTTGAATAGTGGATAGCTTTATTTTGTAGCCCTCACAGGGCAGCTCGTTTGGTCACGGTTGCTTCCTTAAAGCCGTTGTCCAGCCTCCCGCAAGGGTTCGAGTCCCGTGGTTAACGTGTTCGGGGGATGGAGCCTCTCCTCCCGGGCCGGAGTGGGATTAGTCGGGCCCCGTAAGAATTGACCCGGACACCCACTCCGTCAGAAAAAAAAAAAAAAAAGATAGCTTTATTTTGTAGCTTAGTATTCTAGGAGTTACGTACCAAGGTATCATGCCATTAAATATTCCAGTTCTTGACTAGTGGAGTGGAGTATATACATGAAATTCAGCTTTGAACATGAATAAAGCTTAGGAATCTTAATTATATACAATAGAATGCAATTATTAATTGTCCAGATATCACGCCTCCTGACCAAAATAGTCGTGTATTGGCTATTCTTGACTACAAGATTTAAACTGTATCAACCAAATTAATTAATTAATAAAAAGAATGCGTATCCTGCTGCTTATAGCAAAAAAAAAGGGGGGGGGGGTTTTCAAGCCGCAAACAAAGGAAATCTTCCCTCATATAGAGTTGTGGAAAATGAGTTTAATGCAAATATATATATTCATTTATTTATTTACTTTAAGTGGACTTCCACTACTCTAGCTGGGGTAAGTTATAAGTAGATTATGTAATTGTATACTTTGAGGTAGATTTTTTAAAGTAGATAATTTTACTTTAAGTACCGTATATATATAAGAGAGAGAGAGAGAAAGAGTTGGATTTTGAACACTAATGTCTAGTCTAGTTTCTTGTGGCCATTTAATTTTATGGCTCTTCGGTTGTGTTAGAAGATGGTGCAATTTTGTGTTGTGTGGGCGAAAGGGTGAGGTAATGAGAGAATCAGGGCAGTTTTAAGGGTTTAGAAGGCAAAAATCACTTTAATTAGGCAATTTGGGCAGTCTGGTCATTGGCAGCATGGGAAAGTTTAGAAGCTTCTCTTTTCAATTAGTCTACTATTCAAGAATAATTTCAGTCCCCAAAAAAGCAACACATATATAGACACACACACATAGTACTAGCATTATTGCAAGTATAAATTCCTTCTCTTCCTAAAGTCATAGTTATCACCAACTCTTACAAATTCAAATAAATTTGTTTAATGTGTCATCAACATACATTGATTAACAAGAACTCCTTATATATGTGTATGTAAGTGCGCACAAGGTTAAACATAAATAAGGATAGAAACATTAGTCAGATGATCGTAAGACTCTTGTTTTGACTCTGAAACCTTTCCTTTATAAGGCTTGAAGTCTCTTTAGACTCGGGAAAAAAAGAGAGAGAAACAGAAAGAACGTATTTACTTGCCACAAAATAAGAGGAAATCCAGAATGCGTGGGTTCCGCTATGACCACTGCAGTGATCATCAGAAGAATGGCTACTTTTCTTGAGTAGCCATAGGTGATTTGAGAATAATATTGAGAACCTGTGGGAAGAAATAAAGGCTCAATTTATCTATATGATCTATCTACCTTGTGCAAATTCTCTGGGTTTTCTTAAGTTTGTTGCTGCAAAATGGAATAGTCACTCAAGACTCAAGAGGAAGATTATATTATGTGTTTCTCACATGTTTGACGGACTTTAAATGTAAGTTAAGCTTCTAGGAAAGGAGGAGAACACAGCTCCGATTGAACTCTGTCTCCTAGCAATAACTTCTTTTTTCCAACAAAGGCTTGCGAGCAAACAAATTAAGTTATGCAAATAAAGGGACAAAAATTAAAGCATGGATAAATTGCTAGTTTGGTATAGGACACTTTATCAAAAGAAATTAAATAAAATAACTAAAAGAACTATTGATAGTATGTTTGGGAGGGCTAAAGTAATATAATTTAGTTGACAACTAAAATTATAAAAAGGAATTTAAAATTTTAACAACTTTTGTGGGGGGGGGGGGGGCAGGGTTACCCTTGCACGTCCCCCATTATGTCCGTATACGATCGTGGTAATTGAGATTTTGAAAAATAGAAATCTATATTCAACTCTCATTATATGCTAAAGTTTTTCTTTCACTATGTGTGGGTTTATTTTGTAATATCATTGAGTTGTAATTCCCATCGTCTGTGAGTTAGTTTTTGATTGTATTACTTCCACAATTATAAAATTTTTGTAATTTTGTATATACGAAAAAAGAAATACTACAACCAATATTGCAAATATACATAGTCCATCTCCCCCTAAAGTCATAGTTATCATCTAACTCGAACATATGGGAAAGACGTGAGGAAACATGCTCAAGAATTTCTCAACAAATAGTGATTAGGCTACATTAATATTTGATGATTACTGGGGCAGAAATGGTAGAGACCCTTTCCCAGTTTCTGAAAAAAGAACTCGGAGCTACAAACTACCATGGCAAAGGCTTTAAGAAAAAAAAATGAACCCTACCAGGGACAGTAACCAGAGTTATAATAGAAGGCATATTAAACCATAAGCTAAAGCACAAAGTAGAGAATGTTCCAAATTCAGAGTTAAAAACAAAAGAAAACGTGCACAATTTCACATCAAATCCAAGCTGAAAGTACCAATAATTCGTCTAAATATATAATTAAGAATTAATCCCTTATATATTATTAATATATACACTATTTGTTAGATACATGACACACGTGTAAAATTTAAAATCGAAACTTAAATTTTACGTGTGCCATCATGCAAGCAACCATGATAGTGTATATATTATTAGTATATATAAGATTAACTAACTTATATAGTAATAAAAGAAAAAAAAAACTTAAATATCACAACTGCAAACTAGTCCTCAATTATTTGAGACGTGATCTATGAGGCGGTACTGCTTTTCTTCTATGCCTTCTTATAGGAAGGTGGGTTTTCCGGACTTCTTGGGTGTTATCCTTGACCTCTAGGCCATTGTTTGGCGGTGGCGGATCAACTTCACCATTGAGAAAGATTCCTCCTACGGACTCAACCTGCAGAGGAACAAAATTATTCTGTAATCAATTTTAACATTCCTAAAACGTGTAAAAAAAAAACACAATTCCTACAACATAATCTCAAAAAAAAAAAACAAAGATTTTCTTACTTTGCAGGCGATTGAACAAAACTTGTATGCTGGATCCATGATATGTCCTTCACATATCTCACACTTTTGGCCATTCTGCACCGCCTTGTTTGCTTTTGCATGCAAAAAAAATTGGCCTGGAGTTAACTATGAAGGGCTGTATGCCATCAGTATCCATATCTTCCATTATATCATCTTTTGGCACTGCTACCTGTTTAGATGCTTTGTAAACCTGCAACATGATGATAGGTAAAAGATTACTCAAACCTGAAAGATGGTGAAGTACATATCTTCAAAACAATCAATATGTTGAAATAAGGACGAAACATACTTGCAAAACATCATGATTTTCATGCAAATCTCTGCAACATTTTCCGCAAATCGGTCCATCCATACAGCTTTTGCAAAAAACTGTTTTCCAACGATGGCCTTCTATGTCACAAGTATCATTGTCTCCATAGAAATTTGCTTGAAGCAAATTTTTCATCCATAGTGGTTGAGCTCCATGAGGTGGTGGCATGATGACGACCCTTTTCAAAAATTTTGCAGAACGAAAAGAAATAATCACAAACTAACTAATTGTCAGTTCTCAGAACCTTGAGTTCAATGAAAGTGTAAGAGAAGAAGTAGAAAATTTTCTGTTCTTTTATAACTGGTATATGCCATAAGTTTTTGGGAAGTTAAGAAGAAATTGGAAGTCTTTCTATTTGTTTACAATTATTGACTTGTGTCCAAAGTATAAAATAATTGGAATTTTACGTATTACCAAAACTGATTTTTGAGTGTAATATAGAAATTGCTAATTTGTTTCCACTATGTAAAATTTCATTCTCAAAAGGAAATAATACTATAATTGCACTTTTTTTTTTTAGAATAATAATTCGGTTACTGAGTATGGCAAGCTTACCTTGCATGGTGTTGGACTGATTCGTTTTTAGGCATCCTCCAAAAAAAAAAGGTAAAAGAAACCATTGTTAGGACCTTAGTAATCAAGCTTGATCTAATTAGGAATCTTTAATATAAGAAGTCCTTGTTGGGACCAATTTCGTCCACGTCTCTATTTTTTTTTCTAAAAACTAAAAAATTTTTTTCTAAAAAAAAAAAGAAAGTGTGCACATAGGCACCAATACACCATTAGGAAACTTTTTTAGAAAAAAAAGTTTTTTTCTAAAATTTTTTTTTCCTATTGGTGCCTATGTGGACACTTTCTTTTTCCCCTTAGTTTAGGCTTTTAAGAACTTCTTAAACTCAAACGTTGCCAAATAATTAAAGGTTACAAACCTATAAGAAAAAAGTAACAATCACAATCATTCCATTAAGTATCCTGTATCGCTCTAAATAATATTTAAGAAAATGTTCAAAATAAATCATTGCTTTGTCTTGGTTATCAACTTATTTCTTTAAATTAACAAATAAAAGAGTTAAGATTGTAAAATCTGTAAAATTAGTCTAAATGTTTACCGGGTTGATTTTTTTTTTTTTCGCGTGACGACACATCTAATCTAATCGAACCTACTATCAGCTGAGTCGAAAGAACCTGATGGGACTGAACCACCATCAGACCAGACGGATACCACACACCCGTATGAATTTAGAACAATCATCATATAAAGACACATTGATGGGAGACAAGATTTAAACTCTTGACTTCCTACCCACAAATAATGTGGCGGCCAACTTCTCTAGAGGGAGTTGGTTAAAGGGTTTGGTTTTTGTTGGTTTTTTTTTTTTAAAAAAAAACAAATACTATCACATTTAAAGTCATAAACTATCTCATTTATTGCTTTCTTGATAAACGGAAATACATATAAGAGATCATACACCATGATACCATCTCACAATACAATTAGAGACAAAAAAACGAGAGAAACCATGGCCAAACAAGAATGCTATGAAACTTGTAGCAACTTTCACATTGCTTGCAGCAGTACTTAATAGTTTCAGCAGAGCCTCAAACATCATCTTCAAGGATTATCTGCACTGTAAAATGTTATCTTGAATGTAAAGATCAGCCAGGAAGAGTTGTGTGGGAGAAAGAATGCTTCAAAAAGTGCATTAATCAAGGTTTAGAAGCCGTCTCTAATTGTGCATCCGTCTGAACAAATTCAAATTGCAAAGAAGTTTTCATCAACCTCAGGTATAATTTTTTACTCTTTACACTAATTATGCTTGTAGTACATGCAATGAAAGCCTTGCCCGAGAATGAGAGTGTTTTACTTCCAAAGAAAAGAGAAATCCTATTGCCAAAATGTTTTATGTAGGATTTCACTATCTATGCAGATTTATCCAAATTGGAAGGATGCGAAATTTCCTGCCATGAAAACTGCAGTGATAATCAGAAAATTGTTCAGCAGCCATGGAAGAAATATTTAAGGATATCTTTGGTGAAATATATGGGTATGGATTGAATGTATTCCAGTTGAAGAGCAAAATAAAGGAGGTGACTACTTGGGTTTTCCTGATCAATGATCACCTGGATGCGGGGCAAGGTCTGGTGCGGTTGCACGTAAAACTACACCATGCATTTCACGATCCAAATCGGATTACATCAACAAAAGAACTTACTAACTACCAGGGCAATGAATTCATATACCAACTTCGAACCATCACACGCTCTGGAACATATTAATGCAAGAAAACGTAAAGCATGGAAATTCAGCATAATCAGTGTCTTAAAAGGTTAGAGATGCTATGAATCAATGGGATGTTTCTCAAAGGACTTTAGATACTAATTTCAATCAGATGGTTTTGCAAGTCATTCATACAGCCATAACTTTCAGGCCCTCAAAAAACCCCCCTGGGGCAAAGGTTTAACTAGATCAAAATATTTTACCATAACAGACGTCCACCCAAAGCTAACATGTCTTGAACAAGAGGGCCAAGCTGTGATTTTTAAGCATCCAGGTAATTTTTGTGTCAAGATATGAGAATTCTTCAAAGAAGGACTTGAAGTGCTCGTATGAATGTCTCACGTCATCAACCGCACACATTTCCCTTATGCTGTGCATTGAAAGTTGAGGTGCTCCAACATCAACCGTTCGAATCCCCAATCCACTAGCCAAAATGGGACCAATGGTTGAACCACAAGGCATATCGTTGCGAACCACGAAATCCTGCATTGAATGTTTTTTAGAAACTTATAATTATGGCAATATAATCAGACTACTTGTTTCAGATGCCACCTAGTAGCAATGCTCAATATTTTCACATTGAAATTTGTTACTAGAGTTGTAACTACATACTTGAGATCAAAAAATCATGTTCAATAGCGAAACAGCTTGCCATATATCCACTTAATACTTAAATTGTAGAAATTGGGTTGCCTATATATCTTCTCATGTCCATTAGGATGCCCTTATTGCTTGGTAACTCAATCTGAAGATTCAATTAAGGTTCTTTCCATAACTACCTAGCAGCTTCTACTAACATGATCTTTCAGAAATGTTAGTTTTCAAAGTTCATGTGCATAATACAAACTTAAAATAGGCTTTCATAAATTGGATGACTTCTTAAAGTGATCCCTACTGCTACTTCATCTGCTGAACCACTGACAAGCATTTGTATGATTACCTGAATAGGTAGTTTGTGCCTGGCTGCTATTTCCCTGAATATAAAAGAAGTGACTGCATTTGTTGCATAACGTTGATTTGCATTATGCTTGATGACAAGGCCACCGTGCAATTTAGGCTGGTGGTTTTCTTCATGCTTATCCTGAAAAAAGAAACTAGTCACATAAAAGGGCAACAACTACCTAGATAATGGAATTTAACCAGGACTACAGAAGCAAGCATACCATATAATTAGGATGCAGAGCATGTGCCATGTCAGCAGACACCAAGAAACTCCTCTGGATTGCTTTTGTTACTAACTGAATTGCAGTCATGTTGTTGCAAAATATGAAAATCAGCGATACAGAAAAAAAAAAAAAAAAAACCTTCTTCAAGCAATTTTTACAATAAATAAAAGGTAATGAAGGCATGCAACTTTCACAACATCAAAGGAGAGAGCAAACAAGTCAAACATCTATGCTGTAGCTACAACAATTAGCAGCTAGAGTTAGCATTTTAGAATTTCCCAGTAAACAGATTCTTGCTGGAAAAACTTGATTTACCACATAGCCTCAGCTAAGATGAGGGCACAAACACATGAATTACCAATGAATTAGTTCATCTTTTGACAATTTTGTGTTGTGCCTCCAACCCTTTTTAAGCAGCAGTGGATGTAGAGAAATGGCAGAAGAATTTCAAGTGGAAAGACCAAGCTACAAGAAAATTCATAACGAGAAAAAGTAATTTGGTCATTCTCCTGGTTGAAAATTCAAACAAAAATGGAAATATTTGTCCTTAAGATATGCTCACAGCTTGAAAAGTGAATATCCTTTTTCTATTTTTTCACACCAAAATTCTATGAGAAAAGACAGAAATATAGACTACTGAAAACAAATATAAGTACACAAAAAAAAAGAGACGACTATTTGAAACAGCAAAAATTGCAAATACATTATGCTGCAACTTGGAAACTATTCTGTGTATCAGCATGGTGATGACATCGAAATCATAACTAGAAGGCTTCTGAATCATGAACCAAAGCTGACATGGAATTGAAGAATGCTCCAAATTCAGAGTAAAACCAGAAGACGAACCAAAAGGATATGAACTCATTTTACCTTCAAATCTGAGCTGAAAGTACCAGTAATTCGTGATAAAGCATCAAACATAACAGGAGATCCAGCTCCTTGTGCTGAGTCTGACCCAACCTCCTCATGATCAAATAGGGCCACCATTCTTACACCAGTCTCATTGTCAAGAGAACTTTCAGAAGATGTAGCATCAACCAGTGCCTGAAATTTGATGTCAAAGGACAAGATAGGAGAAAGCCTACGTAATTAAAAAGGTCAAAAAGTACTCATCTTACATCTCCATATATTTATATATCCATGCTATTAATGAAAAGAACCTAATGACTTTGAGTGACACTATAATTCAGAAACTAGATTTTTTTTTGAAGCACCACCCACGCATAGTGTTGCATGGAGTTTCTTTTGTTCTGAAACTGTATGTCAAATGACATGCAACATTTGAAAACTTGTGCCCAAAATATGGATATGCAAACAAATATTGCTTTCACAGTGAATAAGTTCAACAAATCAATAATATAAGAAAAATCAAAGCCGAACTTCCAAGCATCCCTTTTTTTTAAGTTATAAAAACTTCAACATTTTTTATAGTTTGACGTACTAAAATATTCTAGCAAGACTAGTGAACAGAAGAAATTCTGAATTCAACTTTTTCCCCATCTCAGATGAAGAAAAATTGGTAGAATCATTTGATATGAATAAAACCACTTTCTGTGAGATATCAGCCAAAAGAGTGATGAGAGCAACAGGCATTAAAAGCTGAACGTATTTCAGATGCCAATGTAGGCTCCTTTGGAAGTATTCATGTATCCCAAGGGTCCTCGAAGCTAACTATCTCTTTTAAGATAACATCAAAAAACCATCATACCTTTAAAGAGCAGAAT